AGAGAGCGGAGTGGGAGGAAGAAAACAAGATGTCCCTCCTCCTCCTCCTCCTCCTCCTCCTCCTCCTCCTGTTGCCGTTGGCCCTCACCTGCCCCCTCCCCCCTTCCCCCCTCCCTGCGGTGTGGTGCGCGCGGATCCACGGTGGTGTCCGCCTTGGCGAGACCAGAGGCGCTTCGCAGTGCGCGCGGGGCCCCGCACGGAGATAGAGGAGCCCGCGCGCGAGTTGGAGCTGGAGGAGGAGAAGGAGTAAGGCAAGGCCACGGAAAAAGGATTACGAGATCAGGTGCAGGAGCAGGGGATGGCGGAAGACTACGAGGACGAGAAGGAGGATGATGAGGGACACGTAAACGCAACGAACATAGCAAGAGGATGCAACAGGCGGTACGAAAGACGCAGGGAGAAGGATGGGGGAGGATGCGAGAGGGAAAGCAGCAGACATCACAGAGCTCAACATCGCAACTCTGACCAAGTCGGCCTCCACCCCCGCGAGGGGCGCTGCAGGGTATCGTCGGAGATGTGTCCGAGTTTTTGCTTTCTGTTCCTATCCGAGGGGAAAGCCATGAGGCTCGAGCTTTGTTGCTGGCTCCGCCCGGGATGGCCGACGGGACCGCCGCAGGTGGCCTCGGGGGCGAGGCGTGGCCGGCCGCCACGCGCCTCGCCGTGGGCCTGGCGCTGGCCGCGAACCTGCTCGGCTCGGGGGTGATCTTCGGCTTCGCGCCGCTGCAGGCCGCCGGCCAGGGCCGCCGCTGCCGCCGTCGTGGCCGTGGCCGTGGCCGTGGCCGTCGCCGCTGCCGCCACCGTCGCCGTCGCCGTCGGCGTCGCCGCTGCAGGCTGCTTGCAGGGAGGGTCGAGGAGAAGGGGGAGGAGGATCGCCTCCTCCCCCTTCTCCTCCTCCTCCTCCTCCTCCTCTTCCTCCTCCTCCTTGCCTTCCACATGTGAATATTATTCTCCTCCTCCTCCTCTTCATCCTCCTCCTCCCCTTCCACAATGACTCAATCTGAGTATTACTACCTCTCTCCCCCAGCTCCGTGCTGAAAGTGTCCTGCCTGTCCGAGCTATTTTTTCTTGGGACAGGGTTTCACAAGAGGAACTTTCTCGTTTATATCTGAAAGTATTCGGTGTTTCAAAATGGATCGGCGGCGAGCGAAGGGGGGAAGCCAGAAGGAGCAGGCCTTCCCAGAAGGTGGCGGGACTTCTCAGAAGCCCTCGCGCCTTCCGAGAAGTTCTCCGTGCCTTCGGGGAAGGCTCAGAACCTTTCGGAAGGCCAGGGGATGTCGAGCCTTCTGAGAAGGCCGGCCCCTTCTCGCTTCCCCCCTGGGCTCGCCGCCGCAAAATGGAGCTCCCCTGCAGCGTGCGCCTCATTTCTGGATCGGTGCTGTGCCCCTTCTTGTTCCTCATCGTTGTCTCCCCGTCCCTTTCCTCTCGTCCGCCTTCCCCTGGTCCGCCTGCTCCTCCCGCTCCTCCCACTCCTGCTCCTGCTGCTGCTGCTGAAGCTGCTGCTGCTGTTCCTCCTCGACGATAACGCCGACGCCGACGCCTCTGACGCCGACGATGACAACAACGACGACGCCGACGACGCTGATGCCGACGCCGACGCCGATGCCGACGCCGACGCCGACGACGACGACGAAGCCGCTGCCGACGCCGACGCCGACGCCGAAGCCGACGTCGCTGAGGTCGACGTCGACGTCGACGACTACTACGACGAAGACGACGACGACGACCTCGACGACGACGACGACGCCAACGCCAGCGCCGACTTAAATGCCAATGTCGACGCCGCTGACGACGACGACGACGTCGACGACCACTACGACGAAGACGACGACGACGACAACGACGACGACTTCGACGACGACGTCGACGACGACAACGCCGAAGCCGAAGCCGACGCCGACGCTGCCGCCGACGCTTGTGCCGACTTCGATGCCGACGCTTTGCCGACGCCGTAGCCGTCGCCGACGCCGGCAAAGACCCCGACGCCGACGCCGACGCCGACGCCGACGACGCCGACGACGCCGCCGACGCCGCCGAAGTCTCCGATCCCGACGGCGCAGACGCCGACGCCGACGACTATGATGATGACGACGCCGTCGCCGACGAAGACGCTGACGCCCACGCCGACGCCGACGCCGACGCCGACGACGACGCTGACCCCGACGACGACGAAAACGACGTTGCCGACTCCGACACCGACGCCGACGACCTCGACGCCGATGTCGACGTCGACGCCGACGCCGACGCCGATTCCGACGACGTCGACGCCGACGCCGTCGCCGACGCCGACGCCGACGCCGACGCCGACGCGGGCGTCGACGCCGCGGCGACGACGCCGACGCCGACGCCGACGCCCACGCCGCTGCCGCCGCCGACGACCACGACGCCAACACCGACGCCGACGCCGACGACGACGCCGACGACGACGACGACAACGACAACGACGTCGAAGATGACGCCGACGCCGACGCTTTGCCGATGCTCACGGCGCCGACGCCGAAGCCGACGCTTTGCTGGCGACGCCGGCTCCGACGCCGACGACGCCGACGCCGACGCCGACGCTGACGCCGACGCTGATGCCGAAGCCGAAGACGACGCCGACGCCGATGCCGACGCCGACCTCGACGCAGACGTTGACGCCGAAGCCGACGCCGACGCCGACGCCGAAGATGACGCCGACTACGCCGACGCCGACGCCGACGCCGACGACGACGCCGATGCCGACGCCGCTGCCGCCGCCGACAACGACCTTGACGGCGAAGGCGACTCTGACGACGCCGACGCCGACGCCGACGCCGACGCCGACGCCGACGCTGACGCCGACGCCGACGCCGCCGACGCCGACGACGACAAAGACCCCGACGCCGACGCCGCCGCCGACTCCGACGACGCCGACGACGACGCCGACGCCGACGCCGACGAAGTCTCCGACCCCGCCGACGCCGACGCCGACGCCGACGACTTCGACGATGACGACGCCGTCGCCGAAGAAGACGCCGACGACCACGACGACGCCGACGCCGACGACGCCGACGCCGACGCCGACGCCGACGACGACGACAAAAACGGCGTTTTGCCGACTCCGACACCGACGCCGACTACCTCGACGTCGATGTCGATGCCGACGCCGACCTCGACGCCGACGCCGACGCCGTCGCTGACGCCGACGCCGACGCCGGCGCCGACGCCGAAGCTGAAGACGACGCCGACGCCGACGCTGACGCCGACATTGACGCCGACGACGCCGATGCCGGCTACGCCGCGCCGACGCTTTGCCGACGCCAACGATCCCGACGCCGACGATGACGCCGCCGACCTCGACGCCGACGCCGACGCCGACGCCGACGCCGCGGCCGACGCTGACGACGACGATGCTGACGCCGACGCCGATGCCGACGCCGACGCCGACGCCGACGCCGACACCGTTGCCGACGCCGACGCCGACGACGCTGACGCCTCCGATGCCGTCGTCGACGCTTCCAGCGCCGGCGCCAGCGCCGGCGCCGACGCTGACGCCGACGCCGACGACGCCGACGACGAAAACGCCTACGCCGACGCCGACTCTTACGACGACGACGAGGACGCCGACGCCGACGCCGACGACGACGGCGCCGACGACGACGACGGCCCCGACGACGACGACGACGTCAACGACAGTTCAACGCTACCCGCGCCCAGGTGCTCCTGGAGGAGGACGGCGTCTTCCAGGGCCTCTGCGGGAAGGATGGGCCGCGCGGCGGGGGGAAGCCAGGGGGGATCAGGCCCGCTCGAGTGGCGGCGGGGCTTCTTCAGGAGCCCTCTGTGACCGCACCCTAGGTTCGTGCGGCGTTGGCGCGCTTGCGTCGCCAGCGAAGGCGTTCAAGACTTGGATCTGTGGCGCGGAAGTACCAGTGGACACGGTAGTGCCAGTGGACCCGACTGCATTCAGCCTTGAACGATCGGGCCGCGATCGGTTCCAGGCTGAGCGACCACCGTGCTGTCGAAGTCCTGGGTGCGCGCCGGCGCCGCACGAAGCTACCGCACGAGGAGCCCTCTGTGGCTTCGGGCCGGATGGTTGCGTTGCCAACGCCCCCCGACCAGAAAAAACGGCTGCCCGTGCTGGACGTACATTGTCAGGAGGGGAAAACACACACACACACAGACACAATTAATCGTCGATCCCCAGGAAAATATGGAAGAATATGGGAATTGGGCGGGAAGACAAAAACCCAGAAAATATAGCAAAATATGGGGAATATTTTCATTTGTGTGTATTTATTTGTGTGTCCTGGGGCCCCTTCACATTGGCAAGTCTCTCCTCGTGGTGGCGGGGTGAGGCGTTCGGCCTCCGGGGCGGCAACCGCGCCAGATCCTTGGCGCCGTCCCGTGTGCGCGGCTCGCGCGTGGAGGCCCGCAGAACGTGCCAACGTCGGTGCGGCCGCCCACGCCCCCCCCCCCTTGTGGTTTCGTCCGGACTTTGTTGGGCTCGTGCGCTCCGCGTGCACTCGACATGCCTCTCCTGCATCTCGTAGGGGTCGTGGTAGTTCACGGCCCGTCATGGGACTCAGGGCTTGCTCTGTACACCACCGCTTTGAATGCCAGAGTTTGTTTCGGTAACTGTTCTCGCCGTCTCCTCCCTCCTCCTCGCCCCTGTCGGGCCTAGTTTCTTCCGGGTGTTTTGAGTCCGTGCTGCTGTGTAGAGCCATTTTGGCAAGGGCTTCGGTGTGGTTCCGAGGGGTTCCCCGCATGTCGCGGTCTTGCGCTCAAGGGCGCGCACGGGTGGTCCAATCGCGAGTTTTCCCCTCTGGGAGTCTGTTGCTCTTCCTCCTCCTCATCCTCCTCCTCCATTTCCCCTCCCTTCTTGCATGGCTCCTGCTTCGCATGGTGGAGTCCCCTTCCCTTCAGTGGGAGGGCTGGCACTTTTCATCATCCCTGCATCGCGTTCACGGAAACATGCATTGACAAGTCTTTGTCGCCATATGATTCATTGTCCGCCACACCTTGATACAACCATTGCCCCGATTTGTGGCCACCGCGATCGCCACGGCGACCTCCCAAATCGACGCGGCGGCTTGCTTCGGGGTCGGAAAACGCGCAACGATTGGAGGGCCTCTAGGCCCTCTGAGCAGGCCCGTCCCCGTCGTGTCCCGTCGCTCTGCTGTCGGCCCCCCCCCTCCTCTTCCTCCCGCGCTCACTGCAGCCCGTGGCAGGGGTTCTCCTCGCCCCTCTTCTCCTCCTCGCTCCCCCCCCGTCGGGTCTGCTCCCTCGGCTCCTCCTTGCCCCCCCCCCCCTCCTGTGGGCGCGCCCTCCGCGAGGAGGCCAGCGTCTGCCCCGAGCGCACCAGCCAGCTGGTGCTCCTCTACACCCTCGGGAGCACCGCGGCCATCCTGTGCGGCCCCGTGGGCTTCGTGGTCGACTGGTGCCCGCGGGCGGGAAGCCTGCCCGTGCCCACGGTCTCGCAGGCGTTAGGCCCCGTGGGCCGCGTTTTTCCGCGCATGCCCCGCGCAGTGCCCAGGCCCCCTCGGATCGGGGAGGAGTCACAGCGCGATTTCTGTTGTCGTTGCTCTTTTCGGCTGGTGGGGGCCCCCGCCGGGCCCCGTGGCCGTCGAGAGACGATGCAGGATGAGAAACCGATCCCGGCGTTATGAAACGTCTTGACGTCGGGGTCTGGGAAGGTATCCACGCGACCGCGTATCCTTAAGTCGGGCGTGTCCCCCTACAGGGGGATTTTGAGCGAAAGAAGTATTCAGAAAATGCCCCCCAAATGGGCAAACATAGTCAAAATATCGTCCCCCTGTAGAGGGGCAGGCCCGACTTCAGCGTATCCCCGGGATCCCGCGCCCTGGCATCCGGACCGAGAGGGCGTGGATATGCAGCCAAAGCCCACGGTGAGGATTCGCGACGTTCCTCAGGGCACCCTCTGCTTAGGAGGGAAAGTATTCACTGCGTGGAGCTCCCCATATGTGCATCTACTCGCATGGACCTGTCCGCCGTGAATGTCTAGGCGCAAGAGCTTTCGAATATTAACGGGCTTCAGTTGTGACGGTCTGGACATCAATCTAACTGCGAATGAATTGGAGTGTGAATGAGCCTCAGTAGTACGAGCGCGTCTCTGTGCATGAGCCTGGGGCCTCCTGGGGCCTCCTGAAACCTACTGGGGCTTCCTGGGGTCTCCAGGAGCCTCTTGGGACCTCCTGGGACCTCCTAGGAAGGTTTCGTGCCCCAGGAGAGGCGCAATCTATAGCAACAGACGTACATAAAACATTGCGGATTAGAGCCACAGGAGAAGGGCAATCTATAGGAACACGCGTAAAACACCAAGGACTCGTGCCCCAGGAGAGGCCCAATATATAGGAACATGAGTAAAACATTTAGGATTGTGTACACAGGAGAAGGACCATCTATAGAAACATACGTAGAACATCAAAGAATCGTGCTCCAGGTGAGGCCCAATCGATAGGAGCATACGTAAAACACATGGGATTGGAGCCACTCCTGTTGCCTTCTGAGGCCTCCTGCTCCTGGGGCCTCTCGGGGCCTCCTGTTGCCTTCCGAGGCCTCCTGGCGCTTCCTGTTGCCTCCTGGGGCCTCCTGTGGTTTCCTGAGGCCTTCTGGAGCTTCCTGGGGCCTCCTGGAGCCTCTTGGGACATCCTGTGGCCTCTTGAGTCTTTCTGTGGCCTCCTGATGCCTCCTGGGACCTCATGTGGTCTCCTGGGGCCTCCTGGAGCCTGTTGGAGCCTCCTGTGGCATCCTGAGAAGAATCTGCGCCCACGAGCCTGGCCACCAAAACAAGCAAACCGATCGAGACATCCTCAAAATCTGGCCCACCTGGGGGGTGAAAATGAGCGCCTCGCTCGAGACATCCTCCAAATCTGCTCCGAAAGCGAAGGATGTTGAGCCCAGAAACAAGCAAACCGCATGAGACATCCCCACAAAATGGCCGCGAACGAGCCCGTGCAACCACCCCTGGCGGCTCCCCTTAGGGCACCAAAACAAGCAAACCGATCGAGACATCCTCAAAATCTGGCCCACCTGGGGGGTGAAAATGAGCGCCTCGCTCGAGACATCCTCCAAATCTGCTCCGAAAGCGAAGGATGTTGGGCCCAGAAACAAGCAAACCGCCTGAGACATCCCCACAAAATGGCCGCGAACGAGCCCGTGCAACCACCCCTGGCGGCTCCCCTTAGGGGTGCTGAAACCAGCGCCCCGCCTGAGACATCCTCACAATCTGCTCTCCAAGCGAAGGATGTTGAGCCCAGAAACAAGCAAACCGCCTGAGACATCCCCACAAAATGGCCGCGAACGAGCCCGTGCAACCACCCCTGGCGGCTCCCCTTAGGGGTGCTGAAACCAGCGCCCCGCTTGAGACATCCTCCAAATCTGATGTGTGTTGAGTAAGTCTGAGTATGAGTAGGTCTGAGTATGAGTATGCCTGAGTATGAGTAAGTCTGTGTATGAGTAAGTCTGTGTAAGAGTAAGTCTGGGTATGAGTAGGTCTGTGTATGAGAAAGTCTGTGTATGTGTACGTCTGGGTATGAGTAAGTCTGAGTACGACTAATACTGTGTATGAGTAAGTCTGGGTATGAGTGAGTCTGTGTATGAGTACGTCTGGGTGTGAGTAGTATGAGTCAGTCTGTGTATGAGCAAGTGTGAGTATGAGTAAGTCCGACAAGAGGGGAGGAGAAAAGAGGAGGAGGGAGAAGGAGGAGTAGGAGGCGTCCAAGTAATAACGAGAACCCCATCTTAGGATATGGGGAAAAACACACAGACACAATTAATCGTCGATTCCCCAGAAAATATGGGAAAACATGGGAAATGGGGGGGAAGACGAAAACCCAGAAGACATAGGGAAATATGGGGAATCTTTTTATTTGTGTGTATTTATTTGTGTGTCCCAGGGCCCCTTCATTTGCGTCCGTGCCTCGGCCCGTTCCTCGTCGTTTCCTCTGGCCGAGCCCTCGGGGTGCCCCTCCAGGCGGGTGGCGCCGTCCCGCCGCCCGTCCGGCAGGGGACCGGGGTTGGGTGTCCGCGTGCCCTCGCGTCCCTGTGGGACGCTGGCCGCCCGCCGCCGCAAGCAGGCCCAGCCTCGGCGGCCGAGGCCCTTTGAGTCCTCACCGCCCGTCCTCGTTTCGGCGGTCGGGGGTGGGCAGAACCCCCAACAGTGACACGTCGATTCGTGAATTGTCCGTCTTCGGTTCTCGAGAAGGCGCCGTGGCCGTTATGTTCCAGGCTTGCGCCCGCCAGGTTTGGGCCTCAGGTCATTTCCATTTAAGCCACGTTCTGCTAAAGGGGGGTCTGTCTAGGATGTGAGAAAGGGCGGGCCTTCTCAGAAGGCTCGGGGGCCCCGTGGCCCTCTGAGAAGTCCTCGAAGCCTTCCCCGAGGGCGCAGGAAACCCTCCGGAAGGCGCGAGGGCTTCCGAGAAGCCCCCCCCCGCCTTCCGAGGAGGCCCTCTCCTTCTCGCTGTCCCACCCTCGCTCGCCGCCGACTTGTGACGCGTCCGCCGCCTGCGAGGGCGGGCCCCGTCGCGTCGAACGCGCTGAGCGGCGGCGTGGCCTCGCTGGGCCTGGCGCTGCTGGGCGCCGCGCCGCCCGACGGCCTGGCACCGCTGGCGGCGGGGGCGGTGCTCCACGGGGGCGGCGTCGGGGGGGGGGGGGGCGTGCTCAGGCCTCCCCCCCGGTTGCAGAGGGCCTCCTCCTCCTCCTCCTCCTCCTCCTCCTCTCCTCCTCCTCCTCCTCCTCCTCCTCCTCCTCCTCCTCCTCCTCCTCCTCCTCCTCCTCCTCTCCTCAGCCGCGCGGCCCAGGCTTTCCAGATGCCGTGGCTGCACGGCGGCAGGCGCGCCCCCCGCCGCACCGACTCCAAGGCGGGACCGCCGTCGCCCCGCTACCGTATTTGCCTCCTGTACACACTTGTGCTGATTGCATGCTGGTGCCTGGGTATCGTGAATGATTCGAAGCTTCAGATGAGAATAGTGTGTTGGAATCCCTTGTCTATTTCCGATAGAGATCGAGAACTGGAGCTTCAGTATGAATTTGCCAAAGAGGATATTGTGATTTTAGTTGCAACACAAAGACGTGCATATTCTGCTTCGTATGTGGTGGAGGATCTACCCAACTTCAAGGCTGTACATATGGGATACGATCCCAAGAGTGCGCATTCTAACTGTTCGTGCGGGGTCTCGTTCTACACTAGCAAAAATACTGTACGTGCGAGAGATGTGGTGAGGATTTGGGTGGCACCCAAAGATATTCGTGGGCGGGGTGGAGCCATTCGAGTCAAATCTTACTATGGAGGTGTGACGTGCATGGCGCTCTAATTTCCACCGAGGAGCCGTGACCCCATGGAGCAGAACCAACTGACTACTACGGTGAACAAGCTTCACGACTTTGCACATCATGTAATGTCATGTCTACCGAGCAGGACGACCCCGATCATTGCTATGGATCTCAATGATGGTCTGGGACGCCGTCATGGACCCCACGGCCTCTCCAATATTGTTTCGTCTGCTCTGGGAGAACACGGCCGCGGAGAGGAACACCTGGCGGGGGGACTGATGAGGGGCTTCGCGGAGACGTACTCGCTCGCTGCCGCCAATACGTTCTTCCACTGTGGTCCTAGCTATTATGGCGCAGTCCCTGATGAGGCCAGGATAACGTCGGCTACCCCGAGCTTCCAGAGCCCCCAGAAGGTCACCAAGAAGCAGCACGCGTCGTACATTGATCATGTATGTGTTCCTGAATGCCATGTTCACAGGATCCAGAGATTTACACAAGCGATGAGGGCTGCGAAGCGGCTCCAGATCATTCCGGACAGTCGGCCCAGGGACCACATACCCTTTGTCTTCCAGCTGGAGCTAAGGCCCTGCTACCGTGCGGAACCTCCTCGGAAACGCTGGGACTTCGTGGGCCTGGGCCTGGCACTTCGTAGTGAGCATCATGCACAAGTGTTTCGCAAGAATGTTGAACGTGCCGTCGAGTCTCTACTTGAGCAAAGGGAGGTGGGGTCTCTGGAGGAGCTTGTCCAATCTGAGAACCTCGAGGATGCCTGGAAGTCCCTGATGGAGCTCATGCAGGAGAAAGGATTTGAGACCTTTGAGGCCACCCCTAAGGCTATGCCAGCTGAGTGCTTACAGATGTCTCGGGAACGTGTTCGGCTTCTTCGTGAGAGGGGTAAGACGCGTGAAAGGTGCACCGGCTCTTTGGAGTCGACTATGGCATTAACCCGAATAACTAAGAAGTGCAGGTTGTTCCGTCGGCAACTTCGTGAGCTCCGAGAGGCCCAACTTTCGGAGGAACTGATGGAGGCGCAATCGAAGGGACTCGCGTCGGAGGAGTGGAGGATATGTAGACTTGTGGCGGGGGCTGGTGTGGGACCAAGGGGGAGGAAGTACGGACATATTGCGTCTTATACACCGAGCATGGAGGAGTGGGTGGAGGATATTGCGATGCCGTCGAGTAAGGGTGGAATGAGTGCGACCGAGATCAGCGAGGTAGATTTCATCCGGAGTGCCTCGAGGTTCGACGATGACGAGTTTCCCTCGATCGATGACATGTCCCAGGCCGAACACGACTTTGAACGCATTGCCAAAGGGTTTTCGCACAGCACGCCGGAGGCGTGCTGCAGTGCCGTGGAGTGTGCCGAATGAGATTTGGTCGCTGCTGCTCTCGTCGCGCCAGTCTGAGAAGGTGCGATCTGCAGGACTTGGAGTCGAGTCCCCAGAGGGCGTCGGACCGCTGATCAGTAAGAGGGTGAAGTGTATTCTGACCAAAGTTCGTCAGCATGCTAGGCTTGTTGCACATTGGAACGTTTCTTTCACTTATCAGTTGTCGAAGGATAACGATAAGACACGCACACAGAGTACAATATTGCTTCACGGTCTCTGCACGTTCGGCAAAAGGTGGGTGAAGGTGGCGAGAAGGAAGGCGAGGTCGACGCCGTGCTGCGATCACGGCTACTTACCACGACGGTCGAGAACGGGGGCGATTCGAACCACCGCGGCGCTTTCCTGGAGGGTGTCTCGGGGCAGGGTGTCGACGGTCGATACAAAACGCGACATGCGGAACGCGTTCGGGTCCGTGAAGCACCAGTCTCTGGACGAGGCCGTGGATAGGCTGTATGATGCTACGGGCGCTCACATCCTGAAGCAGAGGCATCGAAGGGCGTGTTTTCGGGTCACGGCCGATGGCGGCTACAACGTTTTTTCGCAACACGGAGGGGAACTACATGGGGGATGCCAATGCTGCCGCTGTGTTTCAGGAAGCGTTCGCGCCGCCAGTGAATGAGTGGCAGATTGGCCACCATCTGAAGTTTCAGAATCGTCTACTGGGCACTTGCGCTGTTACAGGCGAGAAGTGCGACCTGAGCCTGCGCGTCTTTGCAGATGACCTGAACAAAACACACATTGTTCGGGACCTGGCCGATGCACGAGCTATCATCATGCATTCAGATCGTCTACTGGATGGATCACTGCGCGAGCACGGTGTCTTCCAGAGCGCGGGTAAGAAACAGGTGGTCCCTCATTTCAGCGGTCCTGGGGCACATTGGGCCACGAAGATGGCCTTTTCGTACGGTGCTCATGATCTCCCTGGACAAGTTTTACCGGTTGTTCCTTTTCTCGGGACCCTCTTCTCGACGTCGGGATCGTGGGCGTCAGAGGTTGAAGCTAGGCGAGCTGCAGCTGTTCGAGGTTGGGCGCACATGAAGCGCTTCTGGTCTGTCTGTTCCTCATGGCGTTCGAAAAAAATGGCGTTCAGAAGCAATGTGATAGGCGCGGCGATCTCGGGGCTCACGGCTCTGGTCCTCTCGGCCTCCCAAGTTGCCCGTATTGAATCTATTTGGCTACGATATCTACGTGTGCTGCTAGGCGGTGTTGCTACCAGGATCGAGGTTGTCAACCCTGACGGTTCCAAGACTACGGTTATCAGGACTCCCCCTGCTCATGTGTTATGGCGCCAGGCGGGACTAGTTCCGATTGACTTAGAGTTGAGGGTCCAGAGGTTGAAAGAGTGGCAGAAATAGCTCGTAGCCCGGTATGCCATGTTCAACAGCTGACGGCGGTCTTTGGGGCCTTGGAGGTTGAAGAAGCGGTTCCGTCGTCTTTTCCTGGTACCCCAGTGCGTGCACGAGCCCCAAGGATACCTCGAGAGGCAACCCTTGGGCCAAACATTTTGTGCAAGATCTTATGTATATGGAATGCGCGGAGGAGGGGAGGGACGTCTTGGAGTTACTTAGAGACGAGGCCAGTGTCATAGACTACTTGGGGATCTTTCGCGGGGGCTCCGAGGCCTATGACGCATTTCAGAAGATCGATATGCAGCAGTTTCGAGCTGAATGGTTGATGAGACCGTCGTTGCCCACTGACGTTTCCCCCGAACCAGGTGGGGCTGCCGAAGGTGAATATTGCTGTGCTTATCTTAATGATGATGGCCTTGAATGTGGCCGACGTTTTGTATCACAACGAGCCCTGCTAGTCCACCAGAGGCAGGCCACAGGAGGTCAACATGGGATTCCGTCCACCATTTCCAAGCTGGTTCTCACCAATCAATGTGTTGCCTGCCTGTCGACGTTCCGATGCCGTGATACTGCGGTCAGACATCTTGTGAATGCGTATCGGTTTGGTCGGTGCAGGGTAGACTCGTCGAAGTTCAACCCGCCAGTTCAAGATCCGGAAGATAGGTCATGTCCAATATGCCTGCAGCCTTTTCGGTCTTTTGAGGAGCTTCAGTTTCACCTACGTGATCACCTTCCCATCCCTCTTCCTGAATTTGTCTGGCATGTGGTCGGCGCTCCCTGCGGCAGCCCCAGTGGCCGCGACGGCGGCCCCCGCCGTGAGGCGCACGGCCGAAGGAGGAGGAGGAGGCGGACGGGCGAAGAAGGGAACGCAGACGAAATCCAATCGGACGGCATCGAAGGAGGAGGTTGCGGAGCTAGAAGAGTACGACGTAAATCAAATAAAAAAGATCGTGTCAGTGCTCATGAATTTGATGATGAATGTAACTATGCGTACTCGACAAGTAGAGGCTATTACTTTGATCACGATGACGATGGCAGAGAATACAGAACCCATCCTGCAGGGACGAGGAAGAGTGAAGGCGTGGGTGGAGGCGGCCCAGGACTTGAGGTCGAGGGGGAAAGAGGCGGAGGTGTCCAAGCTGGGGTCCATCTCGGTGGCGTGTCTAGTAGGGATGGCGGAGGGATGCGAGAAGGTCGGTGTAGCTGTGGGCCAGATGAACCTGCAGCGCCTGAACGAATGGAAGGAGATGAACAACAAGTTGTCACTGCCAGAGGTAGTGGCCAAGTATCCCTTTGTGAAAATAGCAACGGCCTTCAAAGAGGGGGAGGCCAAATTGATGATTCCGAGGATCGAAGACGTCAAGCCATTGATCGCCTGTTGCGAGCAGCTGGGGGCACTGGTCCGAGAGGGCGTTGCTCCAATGGGCCACCTGGAGAGGATCCTTCAGACGTTCATGGCGGGCGAGGACATGGATATCTAAGCGTGCACAGTGACGACGGTGATGTTGGGATTACTGACAGAGTGGCGGTGTCGAATGACATGTGGGTGCCAAATACTGTTGATGAGAATTATCATGAGTCATCACCGACGCCGATTTCGTTGCGAATTCGAACTTCACGAAGTGTGAGGACCCAGCGTGCGAGTTTAGCTGCTACGAGTGTGTCGACCGCGACTGGCGTGTCTCGGACGTCGGCCCCGAGGACAGCTACGACCTGTCTTGAGGCCCGCTCCACTGCTGCCTGCCAGGCCGTGGTATCCCCCCCTCGTCCTCCGTCTCCCCCTGAGCCCTCGTCTCCGACTCCTCTTCCTCCTCCTACCATGCGTGCTAGAGGTGCTGTAATTCGAAGTTTTCGGGACTCTGGATTCGGCGAATCACTTTCTGGAGCTGCGGCTCGCTTGGTAGGTTTCCAAGGGTAAGTTTTGTAGCGTGTTTAGGGTTTTGATGCCCTGGGAACTCAGGGCGGACGGTGGTCCGAACATCGCGGCTGGTAAGTCGGTCCTAGGGCTCTCTGGTGCTGTCACCATCTGGATCAATGCCCCGATAGGAGTCTGATCTGATCCTCCTCCTCCTCTCCTCCTCCTCCTCCTCCTCCTCCTCCTCTCCTCCTCCTCCTCCTCCTCCTCCTCCTCCAAGCAGGTCACGGGAGCTGGGTGTGCCCTCGCGATTCTGCCTTGGGCGTCGATGCGCGCCGACCAGCGTCTGCGAGCCGATGGGATCGCGCCGATCTGGTGTCGGTGAGCGTCGGTGAGCGTCGGTTGGCGTCGGCGTCGTTTCGCAAGAGCGGACGAGATGGTACTGGAGGCTCCCGTGAGTTGCCACCGAGCGCGTAGGGTCCTCAGCGGGCTCAAGCTTTGGCAGCGGAGCGGGAGAGACAGCGGCTCTGGCGAGACGACCCCCCAGGACTCGGCAGCTGCATGGCGGCCGGCATGTGTAGAACGGTTTTTGACATCTGTTCCACGTTTTTTTTTGAAATTCGTTCAACGCCGCTCAATCGTGCGGTTGTTTTTTTGGGTTCGTGCTGCAACGTTCGGGGATCTGCTCATGGGGGCGCCCACCTCCCCACCTCCTCTCGTTGAGAACATGTCGCGACGGGAGCGTTCGGGCAATCTGCGGGCTCTGGGGGCCCTCGCCGGGCCCCGGGACCATCAACAAAAACAACTCGGGGTGAAAACTCCGGTCCCGGGGAAAGGGCCCAGATCTCCAGGGGTCCATGCTGCGAAAAGATCATGACGTCGGAGTTCTAGAAGCGAGATGTTGGGACGTTCTTGTTGGTTGCCTGGCGTTTTTGAACCCCCCAGCGGCTGCGCCTCGCTTGGATGGCTCCTGGATTCCCCTTGCCGTCCCGAACGGCCTCCGCAGGGCCGAGGTGTGAACCGAAAGCCACCAGGGGATAACCAGGCGGGCCCGGGCTCAGGGGAGAAGCCACATGGCTCCCCCTTCTCCTCCTCCTCCTCCTCCTCCTCCTCCTCCTCCTCCTCCTCCTCCTCCTCCTCCTCTTCCCCTCCTGCTCCTGCTCCTCTCCTCCTCCTCCTCCTCCTCCTCCTCCTCCTCCTCCTCCTCCTCTCCCTCCCCCTCCCCCTCCTCCTCCTCCTCCTCCTGCTCCTCCTCCTCCTCCTCCTCCTCCTCCTCCTCCTCCTCCTCTCCTCCTCCTCCTCCTCCTCCTCCTCCTCCTCCTCCGCCATATGGCTCAGGGGGGCAGGCATCGTCTCCCAATCGCCCATCGAGGGCCGACAGGGGCCCGATAGCCCACCCAGGCACAGGAGCGTGCGGATTCGCATCGGGAGCCTATCGCATCGTGATGATCCTGGGGCCCGGGTAATGCCCCAAGGGGCTGGAAATACAGTCAACCCGCATAGTAAGGATGGGCAACCTTCCCAAGGGTACCCTTGCATCTTTGCCTCCTCGGTCCATCCTTGGCCACTTTCGTTGGCCCTGCCCCGCCCGAACAGCTTCGAAATGGGCGCCCAAGGCCCTTGCATCCTTATGTCGCGCATCCTTGCTGTACGGGTTGCCTGTAGCAGAAGCCTGGCGTCGTGATTCTTTCCCTCGGCCCGAGGCGAGACCACGCCAGTGCCTGGAACCCTCCCGAGCGGGTCCATGCCGACCCGCTCGTCGACGTGGGCCCAGGCGTGGCGGCCAGAGGCGCCTGCCAGAGAGGCCTGGGGGGAGCGGGAACACGCCGGAGAGGGCCCCCGCCCAGGTGCTCACGGGCTTCGGGGGCGCCGCCATACTCATGGCGTCGCTGCCGCTGGGCTTCGTAGTGCCCGCCGCGGCCGAGGGGCCCGTGCTGTCGGCGGTCAACGTGTGCTTCGACGCATCCTCGGTCGCCGGAGCAGCAGAGAACAGAAGGCGACACAGAATCCGAAGCTGCCGGAGGCCCGCGCGGCTGTCCGCAGTCCGCGCTGGACCCCCTCGGCCAGTGAGCGAACCGTGACCGCAGGAGGTCTTCAGTTTTGATCCCCTCCCCCCTTTTCACTCGGCGGTGAATCGGACTGGTCCTAAAACCTCCTCCTCCTCCTCCTCCTCCTCCTCCTCCTCCTCCTCCTCCCTCTGGGCCCTCGTGGGGCCTGAGCCCTCGTGGGGCCTAAGGCATAAGAAGTAGTGGTCGTCGTAGTCGTAGTCGCAGTCGTAGTCGTAGTCGTAGCTGTCGTAGTCGTTGTTGCGCGGCGAGCGCCGTGGGAAAGAATGATCAGATCCCCCTTGTTGGTGGGACCCCAGTCCTTCAATTAGGCCGCCGAAACATAAGTGTGTACCCTCTATTGGGGAGATTCTAAAGACCTTTCAGGGTTATGCCGCCGCGCTGTTCGTTCCGACGCGCGGCCTTTCGTCCTGGGGAGGGCGCCGCGGCCACCGGGGCAAACTCCGCCTCGGGCGCGGCTGGCTTTGCCTCGGTGCCGGCGTCTTCCACTTGTGCTTGTGGCGCATGGCTTGCCGCGGGTTGGCCGCTGTGTCGGTGTCGCCCACTTGGGCGCCTGCGAGAAAACGCGGAAGGCGGCGACATCTCGGCGGGTGGTGGTGCCAGAAATGGGGGGCCCAAAAATATACACCACCACCACCACCACCTCCTCCCTCACGCCTCCCTCCCCCAGGAAAGAGGAGAGGAATAGAGGAGAGAGGAGGAATCGACGTGGTGGTGGTGGTGGTGGTGGTGGTGGTGGTGGTGTATATTCTTTGGGCCCCCAAGAAAGTGGCCCTGGCCCGAGAGGCGCTCCCAGGCCTCTGAGAGGATGCTGTTTCCGCCCGGGCGTGTCTCCTCGGCTTCGGCCTCTATTGGGGCCCGTCGCTGGGCCCCTCCTCCTCCTCCTCCTCCTCCTCCTCCGCCTCCGCCTCCGCCTCCGCCTCCGCCTCCGCCTCCGCCTCCGCCTCCTTCTCCTTCTCCGCCTCCGCCTCCGCCTCCGCCTCCTCCTCCTCCTCCTCCTCCTCCTCCTCCGCCTCCGCCTCCGCCTCCGCCTCCTCCTCCTCCTCCTCTGCCCAGGGGAAGGGGCCGTGACCTGGGGCCGACCTCCTCCTCCTCCTCCTCCTCCTCCTCCTCCTCCTCCGCCTCCGCCTCCGCCTCCGCCTCCGCCTCCTCCTCCTCCTCCGCCCCGGGGAAGGGGCCGTGACCTGGGGCCGACCATGGAAAGAGGCTTATCATCGTCGGATGTCTGGGCTCCCAGCCACCTTGGAGCCTCTGGGGCCCCCTGGGCCTCGAGGGGGCTGCTCCGTGAGCCCTCTGCGCTTCCCTGGGAAAGCTGGGGCCACCTTGGGTAGGGGCCACTTCTAGCAGCGTCTGGCTCTCCTGGCAAGATCTCTGGGAGCCAATGGAGAGACCTTTTTCGAGTTTGCACCCGCATTGGTCGCTTCCTGCCCCCCCCCCCCAGGTAGCTCGGACCAACGATGATACCGCGTTCATTTCTGAGGGTGGTTATGTCCACGTTGCGTGCACTTTGCTGTTACTTTTTGTCTGGACTGCCCGGGCCCGCCTTCCTTCGTTCGCACTGGCCCAGTGGGTTCAAATTCTGTACACAAATCTATGTGCTGTCCTTTGCCATTGCGTTCGCGAGTGTGTTGGGTGTTGCTCGCTGTTTCTGCCATGCAGGGGTGGCCTGTTCCCCTTGGTTCTTCTATGCATTTGTTAGCGGGTTCTACGTGTTGGCTGGGGGTCCGAAGGCTCCTGCGGGATAGGGTCGAGGAGGGTGTGGAGGGCGAGGGAGAGGCAAGACGTAGTAAGTCAATGCGCCGTTTCAGGATGAGCAGATTTCCCCATGTACCCTTGCCTTCTTGCCGTTTTGGCCGTTCAGTCTTCCATGGTCAGCGGGCGGCGTAGGAGGGCACTGATAGAAGCACCCTGCCTTGACGGTCGGCCGCCGGGCCAGGGCAAATTCTGGCCCCGGCGGGCCTGGGGCCTGCTGCAAACTATGGTCCCGGCGGGCCCCGGGCCCAGGCGCACCGTGGCCCCAGCGGGCCCTGGGCCAACGCAAATTCTGGCGGGCCCCGGGCCTGCTGCAAGCTGTGGCCCCGGCGGGCCCTGGGCCCAGGCGCACCGTGGCCCCGGCGAGGGTTCGCGGCGGTTCCAGCCCCAAGGTTTGCCGCAGTGTGCAGGTGTGGCGGGGCCATGGTTGTGTTTTGATGTCGTCGTCGAGGCGCGGGGGGCGCAGACCTGCGCGTCGGCACCTTTCACGTGTAATTCGCGGCCGGAATTGGAAATGGCCGGAAATAGAATTGACCGGATTTAGTAATGAGTGCTCGGTACCCGTTATAGTTATGTGTCTGATATTTGGTGTCCTTATGGGCGAGGCGACCCTCAGTGCCTGACGGCTCGTGGTGCCGTCCATGCGTGGCAATGGGCATGTTGCGGGCGCGCCAGCAGGCGCGAATACGGCGTTTCCCTTGCTCTCCCGGGATGTTGCGATGCTCTCCGCAGAGCGGCGGCGGCGCCGGCGGCGGCGGGCCTCTGGAGGCCTCTGGAGGCCCGCAGGAGGCCCCCAGAGGCCCACCAGGATACAGGAACGGCCCACAGCCTTCGGACCTCGAGCTTCGAACTTTGATAGGGCAGAAAGCGACATAAGCATCAACTATTTGAGGTCCGAGCGGGTTTCTTGGATCGGCGGACGCCCCTGCTTGGCGCGCGGAGCGCGCCAGAGGCAGCGCCGGAGGCGCCGCTGGGGGGCCCAAGCGCAGATCCAAGAAGTTCGCGCGGACCTCCGAAAGTTTGTGTGTTCATGCCGTGTCTTGTCCCTCCATTGCCAGGCTGGCCGCGCCGGCCACTCCTGAGGAACGTCTTCGTGCAGTGAGCGCCCTCCCGCTTTCACCCGCCTTCCGCGGTCGCCCCTCCGCGGCCTCCCGTCGGACAGTTCGTTCGCCCGCTCCCGGCCAGCCAGAGCGCGCGTGCGGATGGCTTCTGCCGCGCTGCGACGTAAAACGGTCCTCCTACGGCTTCCCGAAGCCCTCGTGCTCCGTCGCACCCCTGTCGCACCCCCAGACGTGCAGGCACGGCGGGCTGGGCGTTCCGCCCGAGGATCCGTCACCACCTCGCCCGAGGCTCGACGTGAGCAGCACCTTCACGGACGGGGGGCGGCCGGCTTTCACAGTATGGCGCCCAGTCCTCTTACGGTTTCCCGAAGCCCTCGTGCTCCGTGGCGCTCTCGCGCTCCGCGCCCCCGCCCCTCCGAGCGCCGCCGACCGCGACCCGAGCGACCCCCCCCCCGCGGGCCTCCGACAGTTCAGCATCGTCTGGCCGATGCTCATCCCCGTGGTGCAGGAGAGGAGGAGGAGGAGGAGGAGTAGGAGGAGAAAGAGGAGGAGGAGGAGGAGGAGGAGGAGGAGGAGGAGGAGGAGGAGCAGAAGGAGGCAGGACGAAGCAGGAGCAGGCAGAGGTCGCCCGCCCCGGTGGGGACGGGCCCCGCGGAACTCGAAGGGAGTAGTACGCATCCCCACCCGGGGGGCCCCAGACCGGTTGAACGAGGCTCAACATTGTGCTTGTGTCTGGGCCTCCCGAACGGGGTCCGAGTAGATAGGGTCGAAAGATCGCTCCGCATCGCCGCTGCATCGACGATGCGGCTCGATGTGGAGCCAGAGTTTCCTCACGCCAATGGCGGCGATGCATCGCCGACGTCGCCGATGCATTTCCGATACGTCGCCAATGCGTGGTCGATGCGTCGCCGATGCGGTGGCGGTGCGGCGCGATCCTCCGACCCCATCTACTCGGACCCTGTTTAGGACCACTGAGCCTACTATCCCTAACCCTAATATCACAATTCGTTCGTGACCTAACTTAGGTTCCCCGTTTTTAGGGATATCCCTAAGTAAATGGGTGGCTTCGTTTGATGCGTCTGCATGTTTGCCAGTGTGGACACCGAGCAGGGTGCTTCTAGCAATCTATGTGGTGCTACCTACGCGGTGGTGCAATCTGTCTGGAGCAATATATGTGGTGCAGTCTTTGTAAAGCCATTAATTTTGTACCAGCAATGTGGCGCAATGTAAATGTAGGAGCTAGCGTACCCAGCTATGTGGTGTGAGCTATTTGGTGCACGCTACGTGATGCAATGTATGTTGTAAGAGCTCGCGTATTCACTTATGTGGCGCGAGCTGCGTAGTTTAAGTTAAGTGGTGCAACCAATATATGTGGTAGGAGCTAGCGTGCTCATTCTTGTGGTTTGAGCTATGTGGTTTAAGCAGCGTGATGCAATTTCTGTTAAGACTTAGCGCACTTATCGAGGGCAGTTGAAAGATGGTCAGTATTTTTCGCTGAAGCTGTAAGCTTGCATCCCTTTTCCGCAATGGCAACGCAACGCAATGCTAAGCACGGCGTATTAATGCGAAGCAAGCCCAAGCAATGCACTGCAATGCAACGCGGAGCAATGCAAAGCAAGGCCATGCAATGCAACCCTTTGCCCTGCAATGCAACGCAAGGCAGAGTAACGAAGAGCAGCGCAACCGCACAGGAACGCAACGCGATGGCGACGGCGAAGCAACGGCGACGGGCGGCGACGAGGCGGCGACGGGGCGGCGACGGCCGTCACGCAGCCGCCAAACCGATACCCAAGCCCAGGCGACAGGCGGCGATGAGGCGGCGACGCGGCGGCGACGGTCGGCACGGAGCCGCCGGACCGACACACAGGTCCAGTTCCTTAGACCAGAAGTGAGAACCCCTAGGTACAAACACGGTTTGGAGAAAAACGGGCCCCCTTTTCCCTGGCGCTGTTGGCCCTCCTGACTCAGGGCCCCTCCCAGAAGGGTGAGAGGTACTGCTGTTGCTCATCGTAGGAAGCCTCTATCGTGCCGCGTTCCTCTCCTCGAGGTCGTCTTCCTCCTCGTGTACCGCCTGTACGCATCGCTTGGCCTCTCGCGGCGGGCGCTGCTGGTGGGCCACGCGGCCGACGGGGGCAGCGTGAAGGGCGGGCTATGCCCAGGGGGAGGGCATCGACCCCCCAGGCGCCATTCATCGCTGCCCTGGGAGGAGGAGGAGGAGGAGGAGGAGGAGGAGGAGGAGGAGGAGGAGGAGGAGGAGGAGGAGGAGGAGGATGCGAGGCTTGAGGTCTCTGGGCGTTTTCGTCAGCTCTCGGCGGCCCCCCCCCCCGGCCACGGGGTCCGCTCCGGCGGCCGTGGCTCGCCGGGAGCGTCCGGGGGGCGCCCGGCTCGTCCCGAGCGGCCGCTGGAGAGCCGAGCAGTGGCCCGAAATCCAGGGGGCAACGCCGGGGGGGGGCGGGATGGGCTTAAGTCGGGCCTGTCCCTCAACCGGGGGGAAGAGTAGTCAAAAGATAGCCTGGGAATTATTTTTGGAGTATTTTTGGGGCATCTTTTGAGTTTCTTCGGGGTGTTTTCGATTTTTCCTCCAGGATCCCTTTGCAGGGGGACAAGGCCCGACCTAAGGATAGGCTCATGGAGGGGCGCAGCGACCCCGAATTGCCCAGTCATCGCCGACAGGGGCCTGATAGCCCACCCTGCCCAGGAACTCGGAGGAAGGAAACAAATCACACAGACACAATTAATCGTCGACTTTTATTTGTGTGTATTTAATTGTGTGTCCCAGGGCCCGTTCAAACTCGGAGGACGGAGAGGCGACGACACCACCACCACCACCACCACCACCACCACCACCACCACCACCACCACCACCACCACCACCACCACCACCACCACCACCACCACCACCACCACCACCAGCAGGGGGGCCACCTCCAACGAGGCGGCCCACGATGCCTCCCCGAGCTGTGGGTACGGGATGCCTCGAGCGAGAGGAGGAGGGGGCGGAGGCATTGGCGCCTCGCGCTGGTGGTGGTGGTGGTGGTGGTGCCGCCTTTCCTTGCTCCTGGGCACGTGCGGACCCGCTATCGGGGGCCTCTCACCGATCTGTCGGCCACATGATGTGTCGCCGACTACGGGGGTCGATGCTTCGCCCCGGAGCCCGTCCCCCGCCTCGGCCACACCCCCCCCGTCCCAGACCTCCGATCGCCCACTCGTCGCTGATTGGGGGGGGCTGGCAGCCCACCCCGCCCAGGAGCGTGCGGAGCACTCGCTCTCGGGGGCGTGTCGCCGATCTACCGGCGAGGCATCGCCGACGCCAGGGAGCGATGCTTTCCCCCCCGAGCCAGTCTCCCCACATCCTATACCCCCCGACGCCGTGATTCTTTCACCGCGTGGAGCCTCAGAGGTTTTTCTCTGCCCAGGTCGTCGTGTGACGGCGCCGGGGCACTGTGAGAGCCCATGGGAGGCTGAAGACAGCAAGAAACCTCCCGTCGTGTTTTTTCCCCCGACGCGCTGATGATGGCAGCCAGTGGGGTAGCGTAAGCAATTGCGGGATGCACTCTAAGCAGAGTTAGCTCCGCGCGTGTTAGGCCGTAAAGGGCTGGCAACCATGTAGTCCGAGTGGGAGTCGGCGCAACTGAGTCAGCCACACCGGACTAAACAAAACTCGAACGAGCCAACCAAGCACCATGCGAGACGTGTCAACAGCTCTACACGACCAACATGCCTGTACCCACCTCGCTGCAACCTGTTTCTAAGCATTGAGCCCAAAGCCTGGAGCCCGTGCCCCCCCGATCGTTGACCCTCAGGCCGTCATCGCGACGCTGCACCTGGGGCTCGTCGCCGCGTGGTCTTGCGGGCCTGCGCAGCGGCTGCGCGCCCGACAGGCGGAGGAGCTGAAGCTGGCGGCTGCCGCCTGCCAGGACGACGCCGCCTGCGGCGCGGCCGCCCTGGCGCCCGACGCGGCGGTCGAAGAAACAGCGGCACAAATGATGGGCCGCTTTCCCACCACCACTGCCACAGGAGGAGGAGGAGGAGGAGGAGGAGGAGGAGGAGGAGGAGGAGGAGGAGGAGGAGGAGGAGGAGGAGGAGGAGGAGGAGGAGGAGGATCCCACGACACTTTCGGAGGGGACTTCTTGGATCGGCGCAGGGCCCCCCTTGTGGCGCCTCCGGCGCCGCCCCTGGCGCGCTCCGCGCGCCGGGGGGGAGGGCTCAACGCCGATCCAAGAAGTCCGCGCGGACCGCCGGAGGTTGATATGTCTGTGCCGTTCCTCCTCCTCGAGAGGCGGGCGGCGGGCCCCTGCACGGGCTGCCACTGCGGCGGCAGCTGCAGAGCTGGGAGTTCCGCTTCGTGCTCGTCTTCTTCACGGCGCAGATGTTCAGGTCGAATTTCTACCTCGGCACCAACAAGGCCCTGCTCGAGGCGTACGGCGACGCCAGCACGGGCTACGCGTACACGCAGGTCTTCGCCGCCTTCTTGCCGGTGTCCGTGGTGTGCCTGCCTCTGGTCAGCGCGTCCATCTCGCGCGGCTTCGCATTCACTTATCCAGTGGCCTTGGGCCCATCTCGCCGCCGCGCCCTGGTTGTAGCCCTATGCTTGTGGAGATCTCTTGGGGGGGCTCTCGGGAAGCCTCTTGGATGCGGTTTTGGGGTGCCTTTGTAGCCTCTCGGGGGCCTCTCGGGGGCATGATTCGGTCCTCTTGGGAGCCTTCTCGAGCTTCTGGAGGGCTTCTTGGGGGCCTGCTGGCGGTCTCGGTCGTCGTGAGACGGAGGGCTCGAAATGTCGGTTCGTGCTCCTTCTCCGGGGCCTCTCTCGGGCCCCTCTTTAGCCGTCGTGGGGGGCTCTTGGGCCGTCTTCGGGCCCTATTGGGCCGTCTGGTGGCCTTCTTGGGGGCCTCTCAGGCCGTCTTGGGGCGATCTTGGGGGCCTGCTAGGCCGTCTTGGGGCGTCGAAGGCCGAAAAGGCAAAACGCTAGAATCCTTCAACACCTATGTGAAGTCACGGATTGTGGCCTCTCTGGGCCCACTTAGGAAGGCTCTTGGAGCCCTCGTGGAACGTCTTGGGGAGCATCTTGGGCCGTCAGGAGGCCACGTCAGTTCCAGGAGTTTGAGGTCCGGGTCACATCGAGGGACGGGGAACTCCAGTGGTCGTGAGGACATCCCAACTCGTGCCTCAGGGCACGGTGGCGGATTTGTTGGTTACAGCGATGGGGGCGTGCTGGAATATCGCGGCCCTTGTCCCATATCTGCCCGCCCAGCCCGTGGCCTTTGCATTTTTTACGACCTTCCGGGCCTTTTTGTATTGCATCCATTTCGTGTACCTCTGCAGCACCTTCGGAAGCCGCACCAGCGGCAGCGTCCATGGAGTGGTCACGCTGCTGGCGGCGTGCGCCAACTTCGCCATCTGGCCGTGCACCGCCCTCGCTGAGCGCTTCCCCGACAGAGGTCGAAGAGAGGAGTTCTAGTCGGTGGCGAGCGAGGGGGGAGGTGAGAGGGAGAAGGCCTTCTCAGAAGGCTCGGGGAGTCCCCCGAGCCTCCGGAGAAGTCGTCCACGCCCTCCCCGAAGGCACAAACGAGTGCCCCTCAGAAGGCGCGAGGGCCCCCGAGAAGTCCCCCCCTGCCTTGTGCGAGGGCCCTCGCCCTCCCTCTTCCCCCCCGCGCTCGCCGCCGATGTGTGCGTAAACGTGCAGCCTCCGCCGGAGCTCCGCGCGGATCTCGAGTGCCGGCGCTGCAGCGCCTGGCGGCGTCTCTGGCGACGCCCCTGGCGTCGCTCCGCGCGCCAGCCTGGGGCGCCCAGCGCCGACCCAAGAGACCCGATCGGAGCTTTGGAGGCTTACGTGTGTATGTATATCTATATATATATATACACATGTATATACATCTATGTAAATATATACAAGACTGCATTATATATATGTATAGATATATATGTATACATTTATGTATATACACATGCATATATACATATATGACTATATATGTGTATATGTGTATATGTATGTACATATATATATATACAAGACTGCAGTGGCGCTTCGTGCCATGCACCTTGGTCCTTGAAGTTTGGTGTGCAGGCGGGATGGCAGGAAGGTCAGGCCGACAATTTAGTGATCACCCCAAAATTCACTAAGCCCGCAGAAAACTAATGATTTTTGCCTCTTGGGGCTTTCTTGGGAGTGCTCTTGGAGGCTTTCCCTCCGAAGCATTCCAAATCGTGACCCCGTCGTTCAGGGAGACCGCGGTTGGAGGCAGGGTGGCCCGAGGAAGCCCGCAGAACCTCCAGAACACGCCCAAGAGGCCTCCAGAAGGCCTTAAGAAAGCATGAAACTTTTGTGAGGTCCCCAGAGGCTCTCCAAGGAGGAGCCTCCGCAAAAAGAGCTGAGGAGGATGGGGAAAATGCGCAGGGTATGGCGAGAACGAGGAAACATAAGCATGGAGGAAGGATAACGAATAACATCATTTTAGCGGCGATGCTGTCGGCTTGACCTTCTTGCCATTCCGCCTGATGCCAAATTTCAAGGACCAAGGTGCGTAGCGCGAAGCGCCACTGCAGTCTTGTATGTATATATATATATATATATATCGGAGGTTAGGGGGTGAGATCGAAGTGGAACGGAGAGACCCGCTACCGTGATATCGGTTTCGGTTTCGTACTCGTGCGTGCCGTGCGTGCGGGCGAGGCGCAGCTGCGTGGGCGGGCGAGAAATAAGTCTCCTGTAGCTGAGGCGCGGCCGGACAAAAAGTCTCCGTTCCGGCAACCGGCGCCCCGCGGTGTCCCGCTGGTGTCCCGCTCGGGGGCCGGTGGCGCGCGGTGTCCCGCCGGTGTCCCGCCAGTGCCCCGTCGGTGTCACGATAATGATGATGATGATGATGATGATGATGATGATGATGATGATGATGATGATGATGATGATGATGATGATGGGGATGAGGATGAGAATGATGATAATGATGATGACTATGATGATGATGACGATAATGATGATGCTGATGCTGATGTTGATGATGTTGACGATATTAATGATGATGGTGATGGTGGTCATGATGACGGTGTCCCGATGATGATGATGATGATGATGATGATGATGATGATGATGATGATGATGATGATGATGATGATGATGATGATTATGATGATGACGATGTTGATGATGACGATGGTGATGGTGGTGATGATGATGGTGCCCCGATGATGATGCTGATGATGTTGATGATGATGATGATGTTGCTGATGATGATGGTCCCCGATGATGATGATGATGATGATGATGATGATGATGATGATGATGATGATGATGATGATGATGTTGATGATCCTGATGGTGTTGATGATGATTAGATGATTTGATGATGATGATGATGGTGATGAAGATGCTGCTGATGATGGTGTGCCGATGATAATGATGAGGTTGATGATGATGCTGTTGATGATGATGGTGATGATGATGATGGTGTCCCGACGATGGTGATGATAATGATGATGACGGCGATGATGGTGTCCCGATGATGATGATGTTGATGATGAGGATGACGATGAGGTTATGATGATTCTGATGATGGTGGCCCAATGATGGTGATGCTGCTGATGTTGATGATGATGATGTTGTTGTTGTTGTCCAGATGATGTTGATGATGATGGTGATGATGACGGTGACGATGATGATGGTGCTCCGATGGTGGTGATGATGATGATGTTGATAATGCTAATGATGATGGTGTCCCGATGATGATGACGATGTTGATGATGTTGTTCATGATCACGATTATGAGATGATGATGACGGTGGTGTTCCGATGATGATGGTGATGATGATGATGATGGTGGTATCCCGATAATGCTGATCATGACGTTGATGATGCTGATGGTGACGATGATGGTGTCCCGATGATGATGGTGATGATGATGATGTTGATGATGATGGTGATGAGGTGATGATGGTGATGATTGTGTTCCGATGATGCTGATGGTGATGATGTTGATGACGTTGATGACGATGATGTTGATGATGCTGATGACGTTGATTGTGATATCGATTGTGATATCGATAGTGAGATTGATAGTTAGACCGACTGTGAGATCGATTGTGAGATCGATTGTGAGATCGATAGTGAGAGATCGATTGTGAGATCGATAAACAGATCGATTGTGAGATCGATCGAAAAAAATAGATCGAGTGAGATCGATTGTGAGACCGATCGAGTGAGATCGATCGAGCGAGACTGATCGTGAGACCGATCGAGCGAGACCGATAGTGAGACCGATCGAGTGAGACGTTGGTTGCTCCCCCCCCGAACCTCCTCATCACCCGAAGAGTGGTCGTATAGGTATACATCTGTACTCCCAGACACCCGGCTGCTCCAGTCTTGTCGACGCGTGGGCCCCAGAGGTCTGGATCACTTCCCCAGGGCCGGCTCTTCGTCCCGAGTCTTCTCTGGACGGCCCTGAGGCCCGGCGAGGGCACCCGGAGGACCAGGGCAGCTACAAGCCGCCTGCCCCAATCTCTGTTGGGGCGTTGGATCTGGGTATGCGTAAGCTGCTAGGTTCGAGGATCGAGGATCGGGGTTCGAGCCCCACGGGCCGAAGGCTTTGGGCCGTTCTTGCATTCCGGTGGGCCTCCAGGGGCCTCCTGCGGACCTCCCAAAGGCCTCCAGATCGAGGCCCCCCGCCGTCGCCTCCGCGGAGAGCCGGGCGTTGCTCGAAGCGGCCCTGGCCCAAGGTGGCCCCAGCTCTCCCAGGGAAGCGCAGATGGCTCCCACAGCACCCCCCGTCGAGGCTCCCATGGGCCCCAGAGGCCTCAGAATGGTGCGAAAGGCTGGGAGCCCATACGGCCGACGATGTATGTTTCTTTGAGTGGTCGGCCCCAGGTCACGACCTCATCCCCGGGGCCAGCTTTTCGACCCGGAGCCAGCTCTGCTTGTCCCAGGGCACCAGTGGGCGCCAGAGGCCGAAACCGAGGAGAACTGCCCGGGTTGAGGCAGCACCTTCGGAGACCGGGCTGCAGCTCGAGGAATCGATTCCGTCTGAGGTCGTTCGAAAGACGGTACCTGAGAAGCGATGCTAGATTTGTTTACGTTGTGGAGCCTGGTCCCAGGGCCGTGCCGTGAAGTTGGCGAAACCCTGTATTGGGCCCGACGAAAAGCCCACGAGCGCCTGGGGCCACGAGCACTTGCTGACGGCACCCGCCGAGAGGGCTGACGATGGCGTACGTCCTCCTGCTGCTCCTCTGCGCCTTCCCGCTCTCCCTGGCCCTGCAGCTGCGCCACCGCCTGCGCGCCGCCGCGCCGTCGCCCGCGGCCCGCCCCGCCGCAGGCGCGGCCCCGGCGGCCGCTGCGGCGGAGAAGCCGCTCGCCGCCGCCAGCGCGGCCGCCGCTGCGGCAGCGGCCGGCGCCGCTGCCGCGGCGGCGCCGCCGTCGCCGCCGCCGCCAGCCGCGCCGCAGGCCGCGCCCAGTGCGCCGCCGCAGGCGGCCGCGCCGCCGACGGGGCCGCCGCGCAGCCCCGCCGGCGCTCGGCGGGGCGCGCTGGGAGCGCGGTGCGCCGCGGGCCTGCTGGGCGTGGCCGCGGGGTGCGGGCGGCCGCGCGGCGGCGCCGGCTGAGGCCCAGGGTCGGGCCCAGATCCCCGAGGGCATGAGAGTTTCGGTCCAGCGTGTTTTGAGGAATCCTTTACACCACATCGCTCACCTTCTGGGACTTCGCCTCCGGCTCCTGTCCACGGCGTTCCTTTTCCTGTGCAAGCTCCTCGGCACCGCATGCACCCCGGCCCGCCCTCCGGCCGCCTGAGGCCCCGCCCGCCCGTGCCCTGTCTCCCCAATGAGAGCTGTGCGTAGCCCGCCTAGCTTTTATCGGAAGAGGTTCGCTCTCGCCCCGCAGACCAAAGAAGTGTTTTGAGGAATCGGCCAAACGTGCCCCAGAACAGACGTAGACCCCATCCCGCGGATGAAGGAAGCATCCGCGCATTGACCTTTGTGCATCTCTTGCTTCCACGGGGTTGAACGTGGTTCAACTGCCACAACAGGGCGGGGAGGCCGAGCTTTGTTATCCCCTCCAACGTTCCTGTCGTAGCTCTCATCTTCGGGAAGATCGACCCAGACATCCTTTCATCGAAACCTCTGGGGAAAAAGTTGACTATCCTCCCTGGACCCTGGACTCCATTATCCCCAGGGGGTTGTTCCCACCAGCATAAGGGGTATCCCAAGACAGACGCACCCTGGAGATGGTGCCCCAGGGCCCACCTCGCGACGCCGTTGCGTTGTGGCTCTCACCGTGGCTGGAACCGTGGCTGGAACCGTGGCCGCTGCGACACCTCACGTGCGATACGTCGTCCTGGAGGTATGTTTGGGCCTTCCTAGCGTTTTCCCTGGGTTTCGGCCTCGGGGGCCCGTTATCAGGCCCATGGACCATCAACAACAGATCTGGGCTACCCGGTACTTGCAGGGAAGGGGTCGGGAGCTCTGGGGCCGCGGATAAAAAAAACACATACCGGGGGATGTCTGGAGATATGGGCAGGACCCTGGGTAAGGGGAGCCGTTTAGCGATTGGGCCCAGAAGCCCAAAAAGCTGAACCAAGCCTGCCATAGCTGGTGTTTCTTCGGGCCACGGCAGTTTCAGTTGGTGGAATAGGGCGGGAGGGCGTCCTCAAATACACATCGCTAAACCAGGGCGCACCAAACCTGGGCCTGCCTACTTTGACAGGGGCAGCGTTAGGAGGGGATATGGTCAGGGGGGGTCTATTTTTTTTGTGCGTCAGGCGTGTTTGCCTAGTTTCGTACACCGGTAGCCTCACATCTCGGTTCAGCCGGGAAAATGCGGCACAGGAAGATGGGGGGTGAAGGGACCTGGCCGTGACTCTGGGCGATGCTGCAAGTTCTCGCAGCGCCGGCTCTGAGGCTAGGGGGGATATAGGCTCTAGGGGGTGGTCGAGCGTCGAGGTTTTGAAGGTTTTCGAGCGTTCTCTGCTGGTTCCCCGCGTCCTTCCGGCCTCGGGGCGCTCTCCGGTGGCCGCGCCTCGCCGAGAGCGCGCCTCGGGAGTGCCCAGGTCGTCCCGCACGGGCGGCGGAGGCCGGGGTTGCCACTGTGGGGACGGGGATGGGCTGCGTGAGAATGCACCGGCCCCCGCTCCTCCTCCTCCTCCTCCTCCTCCTCCTCCCTCCTCCTCCTCCTCCTCCTCTCCTCGTCCTCCTCCTCCTCCTCCTCCTCCTCCTCCTCTCCTCCTCCTCCCTCCTCCTCCTCCTCCTCCCCTCCTCCTCCTCCTCCTCCCCCTCCCCCTCCTCCTCTCCCCCCCTTCCCCTCCCCCTCCTCCTCCTCCTCCTCCTCCTCCTCCTCCTCCTCCTCCTCCTCCTCTTCCTCGTCCTCCTCCGCCTTCTCTTCCTCCTCCTCCTCCTCCTCCTCCTTTTACTCCTCCTCGCTCGCGTTGGCCCCCGGGCCACATCTCGGGCCTCGGGCGGCGGCTCTGGGCCTAGGGGGCCTGGTATTTGGACGCCCGAAATGGGTACGGAGAAAATGGGCACAATGCCCAACAACAACTGTTGTCCCAAACCAGCAGCGGCCGCTGTTGGGCAGGCGGCCTTCTGTCTCAAACGAGCACGGCCGCGGCGGCGCGGACAGCGAGCCCTGTTCAACATGAACAAGAACTGGTGTTGGGCATCGTACCCACTCTTTTCGTACCCATTTCGTTCGTGCCAATGGTAGCCCACCCCGCCCAGGAGTGTGCGGAGGATTCGCTATCGGGGGCCTGTCGCCGATCCATCGGCGAGGCATCTCCGATTCAAGCTCAACGTTCCCCCTTCTTAGCTAGCCCCCCCATATCCCATACTTCCGACGTCGTGCTTCTTTTGCAACGTGGACCCCTGGAGGTCTAGACTCCCTCCCTGGGACCCGTTCCTTTCCTCCTGGGTATATCGTCGCGTGGCGGCCCTGGGGCCCCGTGAGGGCCCCCCCAGAGGCTAAAGACATCACACAACCTTCCGCCTTGATATTTTTCCCTCCGCCCAAGCCCCCCCCCCTACAGTGGGAGCCCATGCCAAGAGACGCCCCGCTTGCCTCCAGGGTGCCCTGGTTTGCTTGGGTTTCGATGGCTCTGCTACGGAGAGCTTGCCGCTCCCACGCCAAACGTCAACATGGACGTCCTGGGGCCTCGGGGTTGGGCTTCTCGTGGAAGGCTTCTTTGGGGACCCCACGAATATGCACCACCTCCACGTCGATTCCTCCTCTCTCCTCTACCCTCCTCTTCCTCTCCTCTCTCCTGGGAGAGGGATGGGGGTGAGGGAGGTGGTGGGGGCGGATGTTTTTTGGGGCCCCCCGCTCTTGTGGTCGAGCTCCCACGGTGCCACGTACCGCCCCGCCCCAGGAGCGCGCGGGCCGAGGCGGCGCGGAGGCGGGACCTCGGCCTCGCCGTGCTCGGCCGGGCGGGGGGCCTCGCGGGGGAGCGCGCCGAGAGTGCCCGCTCTCGGGCTTGCCGTCGCCGCCGCCCCCTCGGCGCGGGCATCCCGGGGGCCCCGACGCGGCAGACCTCGAGATGTGACTCGGGCAGGTCGCGGGCGCTGCTGCGTGGAGCGTAGGGTGCGACTCCTCCTCTCTCTCTCTCTCTCCTCCCGTCCTTCCCTTCCTCGTATATGTCTGCTCCAGCGTGGTGGAGCGCCCTCGCCATGAGATGGGAAGCTGGCACTGTGCCTCATCTGGCCTTGGTAGGGCGTGCGCAAGCGCTGTACTCGAAGACGGGTCCCTGACCCGACGGACCTTGATGAGACAGGCATACGCAGTGCGGCAGATTCGCGTCGCGTCGACGCGGCGGCGACGCTAGCGCGGGCGTTCAAGCATTATCGCTGCCAGTGCCCAGGAATCGGCCGATATTGACAGATCGGCGATCTTGGAACGCCACGGTCGTTCAAAGTTGAACGAGCCACGCGGTGACGGAAACCAATGTCGACGCCATCGCGACGTGAACCCGCCGTACTCGCAGGAGGGAAACCGACGTAATCACAAACTTCGGAGCTCGGCGCAGACTTCTTGGATCGGCGCGGGACCCTCTGGCGGCGCCTCTGGCGCCGTCCTTGGCGAGCTCCGCGCGCTAGGAAGGGGGGCCAACGTCGATCCAATAACCTGCGAGAATCTTCCACAGGTTATGCTTCCAGTATGAGTTGTTTTCTCGAGTAGTACACCACCTCGCTCCTACTCCCAGGATGTGCGTTGAAGCCATGAGCCTAAAGGGGTGTGTTGCCCGCAAGGCCACCAGTGCATATGCTTCTTGGATGGTTGCCCCTTTCCGCCCGCCCGTCTTTGCGAGGGAGGATCTGATCAGCACCACCACTTTTTGTGCGAATCCATCTCGCAGATGGAGTGTACAGCAAGGGCACCAATGTCAATTCGTCCCGCCTGGAAGGGTAGCCTGCATGGCATGTGCCAGCGCGCAAGCTTGCGCGGCTTGTCCAAATGGCAGGTGTTGGGTGTTCGATCGTGCAGCAACCATCCAGCTGTCGCGCTGAAAACCGCAGGAAACCGCAAGAAATCAAGGACGACCGCCGAAGACCGTCAGACAACTCAAAGACTGACGAAGATCGCCCAAGACCGCCAGAAGACCGCTAGAGACCACTAACGACCGCCCATGGGTGGCGGGTAACGAGGGGTCCATGCTTGTGCAAGTGCAGAAGCCCGCGCGAGCGCATCCTTGAACAGAGGATACTTGGGGCCGGAGGTTAAGAACTGTGGTTGTAGCACACATCCCCTGCTCGCAGTGGGGGGACGCAGCCCACGAGGGGTGACCAGCGCTAACGCTCAGTGACTTCAGAAGAAGGGGGTGAGGGAGGGAGAGGAGGAGGGGCAGAGGAGGAGGAGGGGAAGAGGAGGAGGAGGAGGAAGAGGAGGAGGAGGAGGAGCAGGAGGAGGAGGAGGAGGAGGAGCAGGAGGAGGAGGAGGAGGAGCAGGAGGAGGAGGAGGAGGAGGAGGAGGAGGAGGAGGAGGACAAAAGGGGGGGGAGGGCGGAGGAGGAGGACGGGGGGCGGGGAGGAGGGACGTGCCTGCTGCGGAGCGGCCCGAAGCCAAGGCGCGCGTCGGACGAGCTCCGTCCCCCGAGGCCCGGGGCCTCCGCCGCCTCCTCCGACCAGCGTGGCGGCAGGCGTGCCTCCGTGCCTGCGGCCAGGCCGCCGCCTCGCTCCGTCCCTCTGCGGCCGTCTCCGCCGCCGGGTCGGCCGCCGGGGCGCCCCTCGACGCCGTGCGCCTGGCCGCTCTCAGGAGGGGAGAAAGACACACAGGCACAAGCAATCGTCGGCTCCCAGGAAAATATGGGAAGAGATGGGAAGTGGGGGGAAAGACGAAAGCCCCGACGATATGGGAAGTATGGGGAATCCTGCTGTTTGTGTCCATTTGTCTGTGTGCCCCAGGGGCCCTTCACACTCGCCTCCACACCAGAGGCAGGCAGAGGCGCTTCCTCTCCCGCGCCCACCTCCACAGCCGCGCGCTGGAGGCGCACGGGGAGGGCGGGTAGGCAGGAAGCTTGGGCCACTCGCTCCGGCCAGGCTCCACCTCCGAGGCCTGCGACTGCGGGCGCCCGGGCCGTGCTTCCACGACTGCGCCGGACGGTCCTTCGCCGGTGTTGTGCGGCGCTGCCGCAGGTCGCCGCGGCCGTCCAGCGTCTGCTGCGCGACGCCCCAGCAGGCCAATGTGGCAGACTGTGATTGGACCATCGCTGCGCCTCAGGGTGCGCGCCAGGACCCCCGAAGGCCGAACGCCCTCCACGCGGTCGGCCTGAAGAGCGAAGCCTCGGCTCGCCACGAGCCCGTGGGCGTGGCGAGGGGCTGGCGCGCGCGCGGAGGGCCGACACCGCGTCGCGCGCTGTCGAGCCGAGCCCGCTCGGCCACGCGGGGGCCAGCAGCGCCTCAGGACGCGGGCGCCTCCGTGCGCGCGCTTTGGAAAACCTCCCTGGGCACAAAGTCTGCGCTGTGGCCACCACGTCTGGGGCAGAAGGCCAACATCTCGCCAGGGCTCCCTGCGTCATCGGTCGCAGCACGCGGTGCCGTGCCCATGGAGGTCGAGTGCCTCCGAGGTCTGATCGGCCCAGCCCTCCACGCTGCCCGCCGATTCCTAGTACCAGCGTCGAGATCAGCCCCGCCTTTCACATCTTCTCCTCGCGCCTCCGCTTCGGGCGGCGGGAGCTCGGAAGACGTTGCGGCAGGCTTCAGCACGGAAGGATCCAATGGTGCCGTGCCCTGCCGACTTTTCTCACTGCAGCTGCAGATGAACTCCGAGCTGGGCAGCCCGCCGAAGTGACCCCTCGGCGAAGGCCTTGAAGCCTCTACGCAAGTTAGCATCGTCCTCGCGAAAAGAGCGACGATCCGCACCCTTTGTTTGCACACTGGCTGGCCGAAGCGTTTCCATTTTTTCTCCACGTCGTGGTCTTACGGTTACGCGGCTCCGAGTGCCGGGCCCACAACGCCTGGCACTCGGGGCCGTGGGTCCATTTATTCCCTTACCTTTCAGAGGATTACAGAAAGGGGCCCGAGGGATCGCCACCTCGTGTCCCGAGGCGCAGCACGGCGGCGTTTGTACACCAACCGCCGAGGCGGTGCTCGCTTCTCCATGGGGCCAGGTCGGATCCCCCTGGCCGTCGCTGGCGGCCGTGCGCCGTGGCGGAACCAGGGGCTGGTCCCGCGCGAGCCGTACCGAACAAATCCGGACCAGTTCAGAAGCACGAGGCATGACATCATGTCCATGTCTAGGTCATCTGAAAAAAGGTGCTGTTCAGACTCTGGGGCGCCCCCAGACTCTGGGGGCGTGCTCCGACTGTGTCCCGCCGTCATCACTAATCCTCGCTCCTAACCCCCTGCCTCCTCCTGGTCCTCCTCCCTCTTCCTCCTCCTCCTCCTCCTCCTCCTCCTCCTCCCTTCTCCCTCTTCCTCCTCCTCCTCCTCCTCCTCCTCCTCCTCCTCCTCCTCCTCCTCCTCCTCCTCTTGCCACAGTGTGAGCTGCACACACGCACCTCCCACACACACTTCTTGGCTACGTTCCGAGGCCGGCGGCCGAGCGAGAGGGCCAGGCGGCGGTCGAGCAGCGGCGGGGCGCGCCGACGCACCGCGGGGCACGGGGGGGACGAGGGCGCGCCGCGGCGCGATGAGGCGGCCGGAGAGGCCCGGGAGGGCGAGGGTCGGGAGACTCGTCATGGGGGGGGGATCCCATGGGGGGAGAGGATCCCAGGGGGGGCTCCCATAGGATCCCCTGGGGATCCCATGGGGGGCAGGAGGGGATCCCATGGGGGGGATCCCCTCCTGCCCCTCCCCCCATGGGACCCCCCCCCATGGAGAGTCTCCCGAGAGGGAGCCGCGCTGAGGCCGTGTCCATGTCTGCGTGTGCGTGCCGGGATGTGCAGGCTCCCGGGGTGCAGGGCGAGCAGGAGCGCGGAAGCGAGCAGATGGAGCCCGTGGGGGAGATCGGCCAGGGTTGAGTCGGGCCTGTCGGGGGATACTCAAACGCAGTCAAAAAGAATACGCTGGGGATTATGTTTCGACCATGTTTGGCTATTTTTTTGCATTTTTGGGGTATTGTTTTATTTATCGTCCAAAAGCCGCCTGTACGGGGACCACGCCCGACCGAAGGCCAGGGTGAGGGTACAACCGAGCCCACAGTTGGGTATGCCCATCCACTGGGGCTGTGCAGCAGGGGCCGTGCACTCGTTCCGCAGCGCGCGCCGCTGCTGCGCAGAGCCGGCAGCAGAGCCGAGGCCTCGACGGGGGCATCGCGCGCAGGGAGGGCGCCGCCGCGCCTCCCCCCCCCGCCAAAACGCTTGTCATCAAGGGCAGCAGAAAGGCCCCTACCCTGGTTTACGAGGCGCTGTGCCAGGGGAGCAACAAGTGGCATAAACATAAAAACTCGGAGGTCCGCGCGGATTTCTCGGATCGGCGCTGGACCCCCCTCCCTAGTGCGCGGAGCGCGCCAGGGGCGGCGCCGGAGGCGCCGCCATGGGGGTCCAGTGCCGATCCGAGAAATCCGCGCGGACCTCCGAGTTTTTATGTTTATGTCACTGTTTGTTCCCCTATGTGCGCTGAAACTCCTGTGGGCTGACAGGGTAAACCCTGCGTGATGTGCCGCGTCCTGGCGGCTCTAGGCTCTGGGGGTTCCGACCACGCACCCGTAACCCAGGGTAGGGTCGCTTTTTAATCCCTCAATCTCAGGGCGTGCGGGGGGCGCGTGTCCAGGTGGGTCGCGCAGCACTGGAGGGCGGAAGGGGCCTGGGAGGCACGCTCGTTCCGGCAGTCCACCACGGCCCTCTCCCCGCGGGCTGCGGCGTCGGAGTTGCATTCGGTGGAGCGGGGTGCGGGGAGGGGGAGGGGGAACAACTGAAGCAGGAAGGGGGGGGGATCAATATGGTACGACAGGGTCTGGTGGAATGGTGGTAGTGCATGGTGTGAGAGCCATGGCGATACCGACGATAGTAATGACGACTATGCCCGTGGTGATGGTGATGGCGAGGATGATGATGCGTATGGCCAGGGAGATTCTGGAACGGGGAATGCTGACGATGATGGCGACGACGACTACCACGATGACGGAGGCTGATCATGGTGGTTATGCTAATGGCGATGGAGATGATGGTCGCGACGGCAACGACGATGGTGACGATGATGACTACGATGATGACGCTGGTGACGGTGACCGTGGCGATGATGATGGTGGTGGTGGTTGTGGTGATGCGGGTGGTGAAGTGTTGATGATGATGATGGCAGTCGTGTTTTTACGATGACTGCTGTGATGCCTGTGGTGGTGGTGATGATGTCGTGGGCAGAAAGGTGGATGAGGCGGGGGGTGAGGGAGGAGGATTTGGTGGGAGTTGATGAGGAAGATCAGGCACCAGGGATGTTTCAATACACCCTCCCTGCAAGATCCCTCTTCGCAGGTCCCTGCAATAATTGATTTTCATTGCGCGAAGTGCCCCATCCGAAGACAATCATCGGGGAATCCCCAGTCATTGTTGCGTTTTGACATCTTGACTCGTGCCAGAGTGCCGTTCCTGCGACTTCTACGCCGCGAATCAACGGTACTGTTTCGTCCTGATTATCCAGAGCACGAATCTTGGGACTTCAATTGTCCCTTGAAGCCGCTGCGAATTTGTATGACGAGTGCGCGCGGCGTCAAGGCGGTACTTGTATTTCGAAAAGGGGCCGCCCTCCATCCTTGAAGCTGCTGCACTCCGCCCTCGAGAAGCAGCTGCAGTCTTTCGAGACGAACGTGCGCGGTGCTGAAGCGAGAGCCACATTTTTCACACCACCCGCCCTGCGTCTTTGAAGCTGCTGCGAACTTCGCAGGCGAATTGTGCGCGGCGCTAGGGCGCGAGCCACACTTTGAACATTCCCCGGCCTCTGTCCATGATGCTGTTGCCAATTCCAAGCTTTCTGGCCATGCGTGCTGATGAAGTCTCAGATGGCGAGCCCGGCCCGCCCTGCCGACACGCGTGGGGTAACGGCAGGGAGAAGTTAGCGATCAAGGCCTACAATGGGCCGGGTCATGATTTTGATGACGATGATGACGAGGTCGAGGACGTGGGTAGTGGTTGTGGTGGTGGTTGTGATGGTGATGGTGATAGGGGAGTGCGACGGAAGTGGTCATGCAATCTGACGAGGGTGCGGACGAGGAAGAGGAAAAGGCGGAGCAGGAGGAAGAGCAGGAGGAAGACGCGTCCATTGGCGAGCAGGACAAGGAAGAGAACGAGGAAGAGGACAGGGGAACCAAGAGGAGGCCGATGAGCTCGCAGAGGAGGGCGGTGGCGAGTCCGTGGTTGATCTGCGAAGCAGCGCGCTGGCTCGTCCCTTATGGATGCACCGACCGCCAGGAGGTATAGTGCGTTATAATCCTTGCACAGGGCCAGCCTGCAACACGTCTGCCAACAGGCGAAGACTTGGTCCGAGCAGAGAAAAACAGCGTGCGGCTCCGCGTGGCTCCGGGGTCGCCTGGTGCCCTTCGCGCGCGCAGCTGTCTGCAGCTCTTCGTGAGTCTGGTGATGTTGTTAGAGACAGTCCTGGCACGATGCCGCGGAGCTCGCTCGTGGGCTGGAGTTGCGCACGCGGGCTGCACCACAACAGGATCGGGCCTCCTCCTGTTGCTGCTGGTCTTTTTCTTCCCCACCCCATCTTCCTGTCCTTCTTTTTTCCTGCTGCTGCTGCTGCTCCTCCTTGGCTGCTTCTGCTGCTGCTCCTGCTTTGGCTCCTGTCCTCCTCCTGCTCTCCCTCCTCCCCCTCCTCTCCCTACCCTTTCTTTTCTTTCTCCTCTCTCCTCCCCGCCCCTCCTCCTCCCTCCTTCTCCTCCCTCCGCCTTTCTTATCCTCCTCACTCTTCCTTCTCTTCTTTCTTCTTCCCTCACTCCTCCTCCTCCCTCTCCTTCTCCTCCTCCTCGTCCTCCTCCTCACTCCTCCTCACTTCTCCTCCTCCTCCTCCTTCTCACTCCTCCTCCATCCTTTTTCCTTATAGCTCTTCCCAGTCGCCACCGCAGACGTGCTGGTTGGGCGGTCTGGGCGTTTCGCCTTAGACTCCCTCACCATTTATGTTCCTGAAGCTTGAAAGTTGCAACGGTTTCAAGGATGGAGGGTGGGTGGTCTTCAACATGTTACTCTCGTCTTAGCGCCGCGCGCATTTGTCCTGAAGGCTTGCAGCAGTTTCATGGATGGAGGGCGGGTGGTGTTCAATGCGTTACTCTCGTCGTAGCGCCGCGCGAATTCGTCTCCCCAGTATGCAACCGTTTCACGGATGGAGGGCTGTTCCTTTCCAACATGTGGCTCTCGCTTCAGCGCCGCGCGCATTCGTCTTAACCTTATACAATCGTTTCAAGCATTCGTAGGGTTGACGTCCCGGGAGTGGTGTTTTGGCACGATTTAGGAGTGTCAGCTCGCAGGGAATGTGTGCTCTGGCACGAGTTAGCATTGTCAGTACGCAGCAATCACGTTGATCCAAGGCGCTGAAGCCCCAAGAATGGTGTCTTGGTGCGCTTGGAGATTCTCAGTCGTTTGTCTTTCAATGGGGCACTTCCCACCCGCCCTCCACCAGAGGGATCCGCCCTCCACGAAAG